CTCTCTCTCTCTCTCTCTCTCTCTCTCTCTCTCTCTCTTCAGTTTTTAATAGTTTTAGGGGGTCGAACAAAAACATACGGATCAATTGAAATGCATTTAAAACAGACAGATTTTTATACCCAGATATAGACCACGCTTTCGGGTAGAGACCAGCAATGACATCATATACTGTATATACCCGAGAATTGATGTGCACACGCGTGTTACGTCACGATGACGTCATCCAATGACAAATTACAAGCGTTCAACTAGGACGACCTGTTGAACAGACACACGTATGATATCACATGTACATCTGACGGATCTTGAATTGGACAATTTGGTCTGACCATTGCTTCAAGGGTCTGAAGCTACATGTGAAATGAGTGTAAAATCTCAAATGGGTACATCAGTCCATATCTTCCAAAGATTTAACATATTTACGTGAAACTTAGTACCCTTATAATCCTTGATGTCCAGATGTGTGCCCCGTTACGTCACTTTGACGCCATAACAGAAAAATCATTGGTGTTGACTGTAATGTTCGGATAGTCTAATTGTTAATTCCATTAAATAAAAACAGTGATGTGGGTGCTTGCGCATATCATGTCTTGTGTTTGCTTAGTTCAATGCATGGTGCGGAGTGTGTGAGTTTGTTTCTGCATTCAATTGGGAACCTTGAACAATAGAGGACAATAAGGTCCCCCATTGACAGAGGGTCCCCGTTTGACAACTGTGTACAAAACATATGGGTGGTCTTCTAAAAAAGTTAAAGTACAAACAAAAGGGGAACGATAGGGGGTCCCCAGTTGCAGACAAATACACACTTGTGTGCGTGTGTATCAAACACGAACATGTGGATCGCTGCCAAACGTGTATGAAGCCATTTGTATCAGGGCAGGTAAGCAATGCTATATTTGGTCATCCAAGAATCTCTCATGTTAGGGATAAACCACGCAATGAAGGTATACACAAATGATAAGTGTATTTTTGTGTTACATACGGTTACAATTTAAACAGAAACAAAGGAATCATTCAATTCAATCTCTGATACTGCGTTCATTAAGCGTCCAGTTGCGAGGACACAGTTTAATGCCCTCCTATTGCTGATAACTGTGAGTGTCCTCACCCTAGCCAAAATATAAAGTTAATCGTTCAAAATGGTTAAGCGACAACACTGAATAAAGGTTTAGCAAAAACAAATAAAAATGCCTCAAGATTTTCTTTTCTTTTTAAAAACGATTCGTGTTATCAATTGCTTGATATTTTCTTTTGTTGTCGTGATTTGTGACTCGAGAAATAATCTCAATATCTTTGAAGTTACTGTAATTATTTTCTTCTTACCCCAGCAGGAGAATTATCGTAGTAAATAATCCCTTTCTGTGTATCTGAAATATGTTTAAAGACCTAAGCAATTTATTAGTGCAATTTATTAGAATTCCGTTTTTGGCAAATTAGGGCATTGCCAAATATCCGAATAACCGAATATTTGATCGATTGTTGAATACTCGAATATTAGTTTCCGAATTGGAATATTCGGATGCAAACTTCATAAAACTGAACTTTCTGTTTTTAACTCAGAAAAATTGAATTATGGAGGCTTGCCAGGCCAATTCATGTACGATTGAGTATTGCCAAGTAATGATACAGTGTGGGGGATACTGCCATTTTGATAGCTGTTTCCTTGTCGAAATTATACTAACCTTTTCGGTCAGCTTTGCAACTGGAACTTCTTTGGATGCCGCTTGTTCAGACATTTCCGTTTTCATAGCCAGGTGTAGACTGGTCTCACCATCTTTGTCCTGAGCGTTTACGTCTGCCCCACTGTCAACCAGAGCCTTTACACACGCGTAGTTCTTTTTCGAAGTAGCAAGATGCAGTGCCGTTTGTCCGTCGACATTTTTAAGATCCTTTGAACATTCTTCCTAAATGCATGATGAAAAGCGATTACAGCAGAACAGTAATATCGAGATAGTTTTTCGTAGCATGTCGGTCGGGGTTTTAGATTTCACAACATTATTTTGAATTGTAATAACATCTGCTTTAATGGAAAAAAATTAATCTAAACGCCATATTTGTTTCCCGCGTTTAGGAGAACAGCCGGAAACTACTATCTAGGAATTGGAGCAACGCATAGCTGGTTGCGTAATGGGACTTTGGGATCTGTATATGGGTCATTCCATGAAGTTCGGGCACTTTTATTGCCCGTTATTTTTACATTACAACAGATTTAAGTCATATTATTCGGCAAAGATGAAGCACACCACCACAAGAACCTAGCAAGATTGAGAACAATGTCAATTTAGAATTCACATGCAGGGAAAAAGTTGTTTATTTTCACTAATGTAACAAGGGATGCCGTCACAAACTGTGCCCGAGTTTCGTGGAAAGACCCATATACATGTAATAGGGAAGAAAAGGAGTACTGTAATCGGTTCTAACAAGCACTCTTCACCAGATCAAGTACATTTTGGGGGGCATAAAAGTCCAATAACGTCAGGGTGAAGCACATCACCCTCGTGGAGGAGGAGTCTGAATGTTTTGGGGCACAGGTTTTTTCAGAGCATTTTCGTTATTTATATCTCGGTTGTTTTCCTGGACGTCGAATCCTCAGATGAAGCGTTCAAGTTTTTTAAATGGCAAGAGATGCAATTTTGTTACTGGTTTTCAACCTATTTCAGCCATTTTAACTGGTCTTACTGCTTTTTAACGGTACCGCCAATTACAGTGTAAAAGCATCTCCTGATATTTGCCTGTTTACGAAGTATTTGCGTTTTAACATTATATTTTGTAAGTATAAAGCGTTCAATAAAGGGACCTCGTGTCTCCAGTGCTGTGCTATTGCCCATTATAAGAAGGTGTTTTTGTAAGTGGAGTAAAAATAAGACCATATAATCATACCCGCTCAACCAGGATCTGCACGGCGTCTTTGTGGCCATTGAGGGCAGCGAGATGCAGTGGTGTGAAGCCGTCGTTTTTTACCATGTTTATTATTTCTGGGGCAACTCGCAGAATCATGTCGATCACACTGAAAACAAAGTGCTTATCTTTTCAGTGGGGAGGAAGCCAATGAGTGTTAGCAGTGCCCGATCCCCCTACAAACATTTTGCATTTTTGAAGGCGCTACGAAAATTCTCACTTTAATTCCCTTAACCCTCACCTTAACAAAACATTTTTAATGTTTTGAAATGTTTTTGTGGTCAAACATTACCATTATTATTTACCTTCCTGACCCAGACCTGAAAGCATCAGCAGTGTACTATTATATTTGACACAAAGCGATTTGTGTTAGGTATACGTACAAAATGTTCCCTGAACGTGACGCTAGATGCAAACACCCGAAGTCTTGATTACATTTCAGTGCCAGGTCAATATTTGGGTGTAGTACCAGCAACTTAATTATTCCTTGCTGAATGGCATCGGTTGCCGTTTCTGCCTTGGCCTGGAAACAGTGGATAATAACGGAATATACTTGTTCTACTAATGGTTGGTAACATCATTGTAGAATCACAAAAACATGGAAATGGGAAATAATCCTTGAATATATTACTTGAAAGTAACTTTAAGCCTCAGCCAATCTGTACAAAAAAATTTCCGCCCAGAGGGCTGCTATTTTTGTGAAAACAGAAATTTTGTTCCGTTTTCAAGGATGTTCCGTTGGCCGACCGTTGCTTGAAAGTACGTTTCGTTTTTGATACCGCATCTGTTGACAGGAGGTAATTTAATGTGTAGGCATGCAGCTTTCTGCAAGTCTGAATAAACGGCTAATACCGAAAAACCAGCTAAAATACCGACGGAAATCACCACACGTGTTATAAACTGACATAAGAGGGGAACCGGGAAGGATGCAAATGCAAGAGAATTAGGATAAGCTCAAAGTAAAACTTTATTTGTGCAAAGGGGGTTTCTTCGCGCGAAAAATGCTACCATCTTATCGTCACCCCCAAATATAAGTTGTAAAGTCCAAACTGTCCACTGGGCATGCTTGGGGTCAGAATTGTCCACGCAAAATATCACGGAACGTTTCTGTCTTGCTACCATAATACCCTGACGATAGCCAGGAAGAACTTGTCATGTTAAGATTCTACTAGGTTTAACTGTGTTGCTGGCACGCGTATGAAGTTGGCATTACGTTCTCGGCACAAAAGTCCTGACTCTGCTGAGATGCAATCGGATCGTTCCACGATGTAGAGGACTTCAAGAGGATGGTAATACGGCCTAAAAGATCACATTGCAATTGTAATGAAGTGTGATCCCAGCCTTAATAATGAATGGACCCCATGCTGCTGGGAACGGCAGAAAATCTTGCCGATCGAGCTGCGCTTACGCCAAGTCTATATAGATCTCACTACGATGCTGATACGCCAAGACTAAATGAATACTTGGTTCTGAACTTTAAGCCACTGTGACCTGGCTACTTTCTGGAGCATACTAACAATTTGGCATGATCTCCCCCATCCATCAGCTATCAGCTCCCACTGAGTTCTTACCGCAAGTACCAGATCTCACCAAGATTGGGCGTTCTTTGGGATTGTTACAACTGGTAATGTAGTAACCAACGTATAATGCATCGCCAACCGAAAATGTATCACAAAATGACCAATGGTGTAGTAAAATTTATAACCGATAATGTGTCACGTGTCGGCGGTTAATGTAACAGCAAATTTTCTCTAAACGATAATGTATCGCCACAGAACAGATGATATATCAACCGC